ATTACTTCTTATACATATGTATATCTAAGTGAGGGGGTATTGCCAACTAATTTATGGAGTTGGTCAATCACCTTGTAATTACAATTAAAAGTAAACAACGCTTCTCAACTGCACAGAGTATATTTGCCGCAGCCGCATACATACTAACAAACGGTAAAGTATGAAAAGATATTGAGCTCACATACACTCTTGTTTTGTCTACGTGAGGAACTATTGAACGTTCGCACTTTAACGGCTGTCAGCGGTTTGGTTGGACATCGAATTTTCCATTAACGCATTTTGGTCACATAATAAAAAATTGATTGAAAATCCAAAGCAGAAATTCCAACTGTACTGTATGTATGTGTGATATATAGTAAAGAACTTGCTTGTGTGTCTGCTCAAAATCCATAATTAAAAAACACCGTACGCACAGTACAATTAAAAACTTGCATTGACGAATCCATAAGTATTTATGTACTCGTTCAAATTATTTAAAAAATGCGTTATTACCCACGTAAAAGACAAGAAGTAATTATAAATAATCGATTACCTCGCAGGCACATTTTTTTAAATACAAACAGGCCTTCGTACTCAAAAAATTTGTGAGGACATATTTGGTGTACATATGTATGGAAAGAGAGGGAGAGCATTTATAGATATATATATACTATATCACTATAGTGAAACATCGTCAAGAATATTTGATAGAATTTGAATTTTAAATTCTGCCAAGCCCCAAAATATGACTGTTTGATTTTTTGTGGTATAAGTTGCTCAAATATTTTAGAAGAACGATGTAAGAACCTTATAATGTATCTGGAACAAAAAAATAATGTCTATAGAATATATATATGTATACAATTTTTGCTTTGTCTGTAAAATAGGGCAAGATAATTGAGGAACCAGAAATACAGTAAGTAACATTATTGACAGCTTTTGGGGTTTTCTATCTATCAGCATTAGCAGGTCTCTTTTACGGTTTAGCGCCAATCGGAGACACCAAGAGAAGTCAAATACTGCACCACCTGATATTTCTAACTGACTGATGGAATTCTTTTCCTGCTTCCATCATCTAAGAACCATATTAAAAATTTTCTGAGGTGAAATGTATTCATCCATCCGGACGACCATTCTAACTTCTTTCTTTTTTCGGTGCTTAATTCGTAGAGTTTGATATACGCTGAAGATAAATCTAGTTTAAAATTCAATATTGTTGGTCCGAATAAATTCGAAGTTATTATTGTCAACATATGACAGTCAAGACGGAAGAGCACCTGGTCATTCTTTGATCAAAGAAGATATTCCATATGAGGCTCGTTCACCACCAGACCAATTCGTTTTGCTTCGTTTTCTTTTCCAGTCTCAGTAATTGAAACCAAACTGAGCTATTAAAATATTGCATTTGTTTAGCTAAACGAAAGAGAATCGTATTTTCTGAATTCTCGTTGGGTACCATGCTACATCTCTTGAAATGGACTTTTTCTTCGTTTAATCAAAATCTAATATTTATTTAGGCAAAGGTCAAACCATTAATATGAATGACTTATAATTAGCATAGAACATTTTAAAAATCTGCTCAAAACAATTACATTTAAAACTGCCTCATTAAATCCCATTCCCTTGTGTCATACAATTGAAACAATTGAATATTTGCTACTCGGTTCCATTCGAATTTAGCCGTTCATTGCTTGCTATTTTTTAAATTTCATACTTTTACTATTTTTGAAGTCGCTCAAAACGCTCTTCATTTCAATAAGTCCAGCTTTCTCATTTCTATTGCAATAAAGCATAAAATCAGCCATATACGTCACTCAGTATTATTTTCCGTCAGTTTTTGAGATAACCATACGTGACAAGCAGAATATATATATATATACATATATGCAATTGTCGCTTTGTAATCGCTTAAGCGATTTTCCACCAAGCTCCTCCTCCAATTTGTGGTTTTTCGTCATGATGTGTTCCCAACGAATGGAAGCACCTTAAATTTATACTAAGCCGCCTTCGAACGTCACAGCCGAGGGGCGACCGCAAATAAAAAATTCAACTCAAGTTTTTTTTTTTTAAATTAATTTTCCATAACTCTTGTATGATGGTCGTGCGAGGGGGACTTGAACCCGAGCCTTTGGAATGGCAGTACGCAATGCTAACCACTCGACTATCGCGGCCGCCAGATATACTCCTATAAATTATATCAGTCGTTTGTTGGAACCGACCAGATCGGACCACTATTACATATAGCTCCAGACAATCGATTTCTTAACTTCAACGAAGCACTAAGAACGCTCGCATATACAAACAAACAGTGACACCGAAAATCATCAAAATCGGAGTACTACATCACACAGCCCCTATATAACCAATTATTTTTTTTGGTTTCAAAGTATTGGATTGAATCTTTCTTTTCAGAAACTAACAGCAGTAGAATATAACTTCTTTTCAAAACGCTTATCTTAAGAGTGTTACGATTCTATGCACTTGCTATGTTATGCAGGGTCTTTCTTTAAACTCGAATGGTTGACATGTATGGTCTGTTTGAATCCTAAAATCGGTTGCATTTTGTTCATTAAAATTTTTTTGAAACTTTTGGAGAAAAAAACAATAAAGTTAATACTTAAATGAGCTTGCCAAAGCTGGATAATTGCGATTTGTGATTGCTTTTGAAAGTTATTTTTCTTTTTTTGCCCCAAGGCACTCTGCAACTGAGCATTAAGCTTTTGTTTTAAAATTGGGAGACGAATTCGCTGTCAATCTCTACTAAGTTGTATTTTCTTGTTTACTAAACTAGTAATATGTTTACCCTGGAGACAGTTGAAAATTCATCTTTTATGGGTGTCAGATGCGTCGTGCGCCTATTAATCGAAATCCCACGTAGAATCATCTTGCCAACGAATTGAGTTTGGGATATATTTTAACGTGGAAGACAATAACCTCTCATGCATATGAACTGAAGTGGAGTGTAGATAGTTCTTGCAATACTCTTGTATTACACAACGTTTAATTTTCTTCCTGACTTCAATGGAGTTTCAGATAGAGAAAGCCGATTATGGATCAGATAAACTCGTTTATGGATTGGAAAAAAGTAAAGAAGTAGATTTTGATTTCCAACAAAATTACGCATACAGCAACCTTTCTAAAAAGTATAAACATGAAAATGCAACTATCATCTATGCATTGTCATTGGAAATTGTATTTTCAAAAACTACCTTGCCGTCCCAGTTAATAATGGTTAGGGTTCGCACTACTACCAATATCTTGCGGGTAATATAGAATTTTTCTCTCCATTGCAGTACGGCAACCATCCTCACGTTAGCTGTTCTTTCGACCTTGTTTTAGACCGATCCTTTTTATTACCGTTGATTTTTTATCTTTCGGAGTACTCATTGCTATGTATATTCAAGATCGACGCACGCTCGTAACTTCAACCCTAAAGAATAGAGTCTGCCACGAAACTTTAGTGAAACTGGGAACCGAATATGCCGGAATGACTGCACTAGAGCTTCCTGTTTTTTAGACGATGGCCAAAGCCCACACCCCATCTTGCAAAAATATTGCTTACTTCATTGCAACAGCAAACATTTACCTGAAATAATTCAAATATAACGAAGCTCATGATTAGTAGATACTAATTCCATTTCATTCGTATTTTATTTTAGATAGTTATTGAATTTATTGAATACTGAGTAATACAAAATATACAACATAACCAAAAATTATGGGTGAAAACAATTAAAAAATTAAAATTAATCCCAGATATTTGTATTTATAGGAAAACTGGATTTCGATCCGTAGGTGTACTTTAGAAAGGACTAATTTACAATCTCTAGAATACATACCTACACATACGAGTATGTATGTACATGCGTGCGCTTATTGAGATAATTGGGTCACTAAGACTTTGCTTAGTTCCATACCAAAAAAGGAATATGCGATTCAAACAGGTTGTAATTGAACAAAAAACATATATTTGATGCTAGTACTTCGAGTGTTTTTCAGCAAAGGCACACAGAAAACAGATAAAAATTTGAAATGCAAACAAAGTTTCAAACAGCTGAGGCCTAATGACAATAAATATGTTTTATGAATGAAAAAGTTAAAATAAATAACAAGTAAGGGCGAGCTATGTTCGGTTCGGCACTTATATTCGTAAATGTATGATTCGAAATTGGTACGGCCAAAGGTCTGTTCCCACATTAAATATTCAAAACTAAATACCGAAGGTTCAGAAAAGTACTGAGGCATTCAACTCGTCTAGAAAAAGTCACAGTTTGGTGTAGTTTATGGGCTGGTGGCATCATTGGACCGTACTCTTTCAAGGATAATGGGACTCGTAACATAACAGTGAATGGTGAGCGCTGCCGTAAGATGATATCAAACTTTTATTTTTTGTCCAAAATGCAAGAGCTTGACTTGCATGACATGTGGTTTCAACAAGACGGTGCCACACCCCACACAGCACGCGTAACAATAGACTTAGAGGCGAGTTCGATAGACATTTTATTTCACGCTCGGGACCAGTCAATTGGCCGCCTAGATCGTGCGATTTAACGCCTCTAGACTATTTTTTGTGAGGATATGTTAAACCTAATGTCTATACAGACAAGCCCGCTTCAATTGACAACATTGAAGCATTTATTCTTGAGATACTGGTCGAAATGTTGGAAAGAGTATGCCAAAATTGGACGAAGCGGATGGACGCAGTCGCAGTCAACATTTGCATGAAATAGTCTTAAAACATTAAATTATGTAGACCGTACTATCGACTCAAATAAAGGTTTCATGCATTCTTTTGAAAAATATGTGTTTTTTTTTTGAAAAACTTTCCTCACAAAGCTCTTACAAGATTATTGATGATCTTCCATCCAATCGTCAGCTTAACAAATTTAATATTAACTACGTACAGCGTAGAGCAGGGTTTAATAAAGCAACAAAAAGCCGAATCGCAATCCATGGTGATTTTATTTGCTGAAAATGCATACTCCGGTTGGCCTAAGTGATCGTTGGCGATGTGCTGCCGATCGTGGTTGTTTAGTTTGATAAAAGACATAGCGCTTGTCGGTCGATGGTCGTTAAACGCGGCGATTTTTGTGGCGTCGCTTATAAGCAGCGTACATAAAATACATATGTAAATGTACATATATATATTCGGTGTTAAGTGATTTACAGTTCGAATTTGTTGATGTGAATTGTGTGACTCTATCAATAATTTTATTTAAACGTATTTTATCGTCCTAGTCTATGTACACATATATTGTTGTAGATGTTGAATAAAATAAAAAAGATTAAAATTAAATAGACAAATTATTCATAATTGGCAGATGGATGTCATAAAGAAGTTGTGGATTAAGGAATAGATTGATGAATGCGCTCCTGCTTTCCCTCACATTAACTTGGATATCTGCATAAATATCATTAAGTAAGTATTGTAAACGATAAAGGAAGTAATATTCTGCATATTTTATTAGAATGACTTTATTAAAAAAATCTGCTTCGCTACAAGCTGCTTTCCAATTGAACTCAATTATATGCAGTTATAAAAAAAGAACCCTCTCGAAGTATTATTGGCACTTATATTTATTTTTGAATGTGGTATTATTTAATATGTTGAATAATTGGTGTGTAAAACATTGTCGTACATCATTTTAATATAATTATATTGAAAAAGTTTGCATTCAAGGCACTACAGGAAAGAAAACAATCGAAATATATTTATTTATTTGTTTATTGCGTAATAAGTTTCTATAATATTTGTTTGCATTCTATTAGCACAATTAAAAAATATTGTTTTTAAGATTATATTATAGATAGAAATTCATGCCTAGGACTAAATTTTATTTGCTATTCTTGAATCCTTAGATATCCAAAATCTGAAAATTTTTGCTTCTGAAAGCAAAGAAAAACTATTTTATTCTAAATTACATGGAAATAGCACAATATTACATACAATAGTGTGTTAGAGTTTTTACATGTATTTTAACTAAGCCCCAAACAACTTAATCATTAGCTAACTAACATTTTGATTATACATCTATGCAAAACATTTCAATCATAAAAAAAAAATTTATAATACAAAAATTAAGAAAATTCACTGTAAATTTTTATTTTTTTTTTAAATACATACATATAAAATCTGTTAAGCGAAAACACATCAAAAATCAAGTTCACCTTTCAATCATTCCAATTGTTGTCTGCACAAGTTTGTTCGATGTTTTTATCAAAGAAGATGGAACCTTTTGAGCATGAATTTAGAAAAAATTTAACTTAGAAACGCATGTTAATGGAGTAATTTTTTAGATTTCTAAATTCTCACAAACCATACAAACCTTCTGTAAGAGAAGTTTTAAGTACATAAGTCTTAAATATGTAAAGCATGCCTTCAAGTCTTTCAACATATGTAGCAACCTAAATTTTCCAGATTTCTGTATGCACAACTGTTCCGTACGGTGCAATTAAGATCGCTAAACTTCCGCAATATTTGCATATAAAATATGATTACGTACATTTTCATCCAGAAACGCATACTAGGTTTAATAGTCAAACTACAGTCCCTGATTGTTCATTTCATATAAGGGTTTGAAATATCGGGGCTAATATAAAAAGTATGAAGCAAAACGTTCCTGATCATAATTAAAAAATTTGAGTTCTCTTCTGGAACTATAAATAGTTTTTGTGAATTGCCACATCGGCAAATAGATGTTTTTCACTATTGTTCACCACAAATCCACTGGCCATCCAGGTGCCATTATCAAATCGAAAAGAATTGTTTCCTTTTTATTTTTTATTTAACTTTCTTATCATACAAAATTAATACTGTCGGCAGTTCTGGATTGTTTCGCTTATGTTAACGCTTTTATTATTTTCGACTTCTGTAAAATAGGTTTTTGTTTAGATTGAATTGCTAGATGTAGTAGTTAACATTTTTTCCCAGTTTCTTTTTAACAATGTAAGCAAAGACCTGTCAGATACGTCAAAAAAAATGATAGAAGTTGGTGGGAACACTCTTGTGCTCACAGTCCCCAAAACTCGTTTTCAAAGTGTTTTCGATGTCGGTGTGAACCAGGTGCCTGGCTTCCGGTGGCTAATGGATTTTTATGAAGATTAAAAAAAAAACTAACAAATTGATTTATTTAACTTCTGACCGAACTTAAAAAAGGGAATATTTAAAATACAAATTGTGTCTCATGTGTAAAACAACAACCTTGTATTATTTTGCAATTTTCTACGCATTGATCGAGTCATCATGCCTACATCTACAATCGGATGGGCTAGTCAAAGTCTTCTAAATAAATGAATGGGCGTCTTTTTCTACATGACAGTCATTCTCTCCATTGAAGCTTAGTTTCATTCATGCACGACATTAATTTCAGGTACTTATGTATGTATGTTTGAGTGTACCTGGCAAAGCTTCTGCAGGTTTTAAATAGAAATTTTTGTCAATATGTTCAACTATTTCTGTCTATAAACAGCCATGTATAGTGATGATGGAAGTGCGTTAATACTCAGTTTTCAATAATATTGAATATCAGCAAAGGCAAATAGTTATTTTTGGATAAAAACTATTGATTACTCCTTTAAAAGATGCAATTAAAAAATCACTATAATTTGCGGTGTCTTCTTTGTTAATGTTTACTAAATGAACATTTTCTTGGGAGGTCGTCTTGCGACGTATTTCTCAAATAAATTCCTTTATTTTATTTTAACGAATTTGAATCTGTATCGGAAGTAGTACGAGTGCCTAGCTCTGTAGCTCTAGTATTAGTATTGATTAGTTTCATAAAGAAAATCGTTTTTTAATAACTCTTATAAAAATTTTCGATCATATCGTTAATTTTGTCACATCGTTCAAAAAGTAATAATTATATTATTTATATTTGTTTTAATAAGATACAATTTTCATTATCTGTAGAGAAAATATGAAATTTCGTGCGGATAATATTGGGTTGCCCAAAAAGTAATTGCGGTTTTTTTAAAAGAAAGTAAATGCATTTTTAATAAAACTTAAAATGAACTTTAATCAAATATATAATTGCCATTTTGTTCGATAACATTTTGCCATCTTCCTGGCAAATTTAGTATTCCACGCTCATAGAACTTCTGGCCTTTTTCTGCAAAAAAACTGAACCAAGTGCGATTTTATAGCCTCATCATTGCTGAAAGTTTTACCATTTAAGGAGTTCTGCAAAGATCGAAATAAATGGTGGTCTGATGGTGCAAGGTCAGGGCTATATGGTGGATGCATCAAAAGTTCTCAGCCAAGCTCACTCAGTTTTTGGCGAGTGACCAAAGATGTGTGCGGTCTAGCGTTGTCCTGGTGGAATATGACACCTTTACGATTGACCAATTCTGGTCGCTTCACCTTGATGGCTGTATTCAGTTTGTCCAATTGTTGACAGTAAACATCCGAATTAATCGTTTGGTTCCTTGGAAGCAGCTCAAAATATACGACACCCTTCCAATCCCACCAAACAGACGGCATAACCTTCTTTTGGTGGATATCAGCCTTTGAAGTGGTTTGAGCTGGTTCACCATGCTTGGACCATGATCGTTTTCGACTAACGTTGTTGTAAACAATCCATTTTCATCTCCAGTTATGATTCGTTTTAAAAACGGATCGAATTCATTGCGTTTAAGGTGCATATCACAAGCGTTGATTCGGTGTGTTAAATGAATTTCTTTCAATACATGTGGTACCCAAATATCAAGCTTTTTCACCAGTCCAAGACTTTTTATGTGATAATGAACGGTCGATTTTGGTATATTTAACTTCTCTCCTATCTCACGCTCAGTTACATGACGATCCAATTCGAGTAATGCTTTGATTTGGTCATCATCAACTTCATTTGGCCGACCTGAACGTGGCTCATCTTTGAGTGAAAAATCTCCAGAACGGAATTTGCGAAACCAATTTTGACACTGTCTTCCTTTTAAGGCTTCATCACCATACACATCTCGTAACTTTTTAGCAACCTGCTCCGCGTTTTTTCCTTTACGGAAATAATAAAGTAGTAAAATATGACGAAAATGCTCCTTTGTGGGCTCCATATTAAAATTGACGCCAAACAAACAAATGTAAACAAAATTTCGCGCACTTTTTTTCTAAAGCAAGCTAAAAGTAACAGCTGATAACTGACAGAAGAAAAAATGCAATTACAGAGTCACAAGCCGTTGAAAAAATTTGTCAACGCCTATATGAAAAATCCGCATTTACTTTTTGGGCAACCCAATACTTTCATAAATAAAGTTATATATTGAAAAGGTCTTTTTCGAAATCAGAAAATTAAAAAATAACAGAAAGTATATTTATGAAATTTTTAGGACTCAAAGAAAAATGAATATTTTTGTTAAAAAAAGTAAAAGTAAAAAAAAAAATAGTTCAAAAAATTTAATTATTTTTGATCAGAAAAGAAAAAATCTCAGGGATAGATGACAAAAATTACATCTGATAAAAATTGTAACTTAATTGTTAATAAGAATTTTTTGAGCGACAAGTAAAAATTTAAGTTTATTTTTTAATTTCAATTTTTCTAGACATAAACCAAGCCTCCGCCTATACATATGTTGAAAACCTCATACAATACGCGAAAGGCTTTCATCTTTTTTTTCATTAAAAAACCAAAAAACTTATCATTTTCCCTGATATTAGTATTAGTCGTAGTTGCGCTAAATCTCTGTCCATGGCTGTAAGTGTACACTCATGTGTGAAATATTTGCAAATCAGCATCTAATTCCACACATATTATGAGGTAAACTTATATATTTATACACATTCATTAGCATATTCTTCTGCTTTGTATATTGACGACAAAGTTAAATATTTTTGCGTCAAACATTCCATTCGAAATTGAGCGGCCAAATAAAATAACAAAAATACATCCGCCTCCAAAATTTACGAATTAAAATACAATCAAAAATTATGTTTTTTATTTTAATCCATTGATTTAAGTAAGATAAATAAATAATACATCTCCATATTTGTTGTACTCAATGTCTTAACAAAACATCGCTACGCTGGTTATAAAGCGTCAGTTATAATATACACATGTGTATATGTTTATATATGTACATATATAAAAAAAAAGCAGAAAAAAATTAAAGTTTCAGGGAAATTTGTAAATTTTCATCTGTAAATATTTTACTTTCTTTCACATTTTATTATTATTCTTACATTAAACAGCCTTGCCTATTTAGGATCAGCTACATATTTAAATAATTCAAAGGTAATTAATTTTTTTGTACGCATACGTTTAATTTCAATTGGAAGAATTCCATTGAGAGCTGAAAGAAAATTTATTTGGGAGCGAAATTTCTACGAGGCTATTGAAAGCCATATTCAGGGCGAAACCCAATTATGGCTAGAGAAAATACTTACTTCCCACACTTGGTAACATAATCAAGAATGGCAAAGTAAAAGGTGTA